CTGGGGTTCATGTGTTCCATGGATCATGTCCTCAACTGCTCTTTTCCCTCTCTTTTGGCAAGTGTTTCCCCCCTTCTGTTCCTTTCTCCCCCTCCCTTTGGTCTGGGCTTTAGAAATGTCCACTGTGACTACCTGGGCACTGTTACTGACTGGACTTACAGCGGTCCGGTTTCAGCCCTCAGCCCTCTGCCTAAGCCCTTCACAGAATGAGGGGTACCCACGTCGAAACATTTACAATTTTGGAGTTTAACCATCATTTAAAACTCCATCTTGAGGCCCTCTCAATCATGTGGCCTCTATGATAAAAGGGTTTTGGGTTTTTTTGGTGGGCCTTCCCTGATGTGGAGCCTGGTCTCAATGCTACTGTGTCCTTGGTGTCTCACCACTGACCTCACTGGCCCACTAGCCGAGAGACGTTTCCCAGAGGTCTCCTAAGCAGAACTCTCCCCATGCTACTTCTGCTCCTTATCAGCCACAGACCTATGTGTGACCAGATGCTGATCTTACTGGGGATCTTCCCTCCGCTATTTCCAGATGTCTGGTGGCCATGTCTTGTCTATAGTGCCAGACAATCTCAAGACAACATGGCTAAGATGAATCCACCATAGATTTCTTCTGTCACAGTCTTGATGTTTGTGTGCCTCAAGTTCACATTCTAAAAATAAGGTTTAGTTTGATTTTAAATGTGTGTGTGTGTGTGTGTGTGTGTGTGTGTGTGTGTGTGTACATGAGGTCAGGTGCCTACAGAGTCCAGAAGAGGATACTGGATTCCCTGGGTCTGGTGTTACAGTCACCTGATGTGGTTGCTGGGAACTGAGCCCAGTTCTCTGCAAGAGCAGTTTAAGCACCAATCCATGTCTCTATCCCAGATCACATAGTTTCGGTTGCTGTTTTTGTTTGGGTTTCATGTATCCAAGGCTAGCTTTCAGCTTCATGTGCAGCTGAGGATACCCTTTAACTTCTGACCCCTTCCCTCCTGGCCTGTAGTTACCACCACACCCAGCTGGTGTAGTCAACATCCCCACCACCCCATCCATGAACCTACTCCATGGGGATGTATCATGATACAGAATCCTTAATGACGCGGGTCCTGACCCAATCAGATTGGTGTTCCTATAAAAAGGGCTTACACTCTCTCTACCCTGGGAAGGCACTGCAAAGGAGGAAATGGTTCTTATCAGCAGCCCCCAAGGCAAGGCCTCCATCTTAATTCCAGGAATAGAGAATTCCATGGCATAGAGAATGGTTTCAGCTCCTAACATTTTGTTACAATTGCCAGTGTCCACTGATATGCCCTGCTTTAAAATTTAGTTCTTTCTATGCCCATTGCTCCAGTTTTTCCTAGTCCTGCTGTGTCTGGGACCACATATCCCCTTGCTCAGCATCCCATCTCTCAGTTCCTCCTCTTGCCTCTTACTGCCTTTTCTAATCTTCTATGCCTTCTGTAGAACCACAAAAGCAAGGCTTCATCTAAAGCCCTCATCACAACTCCCCCCATTGTCTGCATCCATCTGGGCTCACTCTCCCATAGGGATGAGAGCCTTCTCTTAGGAGCTGCTGGTGCTGGGTTACCCTGTTGCTGTGTAACATCCCCTCCTCTTAGCATAGTCTCCTTTCCCCCAAGGAACACACCTTGAGATGCAGCTTTGCAGAACACACCTGAACTCCTTTGGCTCTATGGCTGAAGTATCTCCACTTATGTCCCTGAGTAAAGGGAATGACTAATCTAGCATTAGGTGTTCAAGAGAGAGAGCGAGCATGACTGAATGCCAACATTTCCCTGGAGGAATTCTCAAAATGCCTTGGTTTTCCAGAGAGCATCCAGTTTCCACTCAGGCTCCCACTCCAAACGTCATTATGTTCTGCCTTTTTTTTTTTTTTTTGCATGTGTCCCAACTCTATCTGCCCTGAGTCTGAGACCTTCATGGTGGCTCTGAGTTGAGTCCATGTCTTACTGCTGTGCCCTGCACGGAACTTGTCCTTAGTGAGTATCCGCATGCTGGTTTGATGAAGCTTTCTGTATGTATGGACTGTACTGCACTCTGGTTTGGCTGGTTCTGATGTGGTTGGGTTCTAAGGTTGCCAGGAAGAGGGAGAATCATTTACCTGTCTCATGTCTAGGCTTCCACTTCCTCTTATATAAAACCATGATTGTCTTCACTAATATCTGATAATACTACCATTATAGTACTATCTACTAGCTTCCTCTTGGGGGTTTCCACTTTGTCTCTAGGCATTTACCTTGTTTTTGAAAGGAACTGAGTGGCTCATGTCAGTGGCTTTGACCATCACAATTTAATACCTATTCAGAAATGTCAACAACTAGCAGCCTACATTGGTTCTCAGGACACAGATGAATCCCTTGGCCTTGACAGTGACATTTAGCTGTAACACTCAGATGGTTTGACCACAGATGGACCCATGGGGACAAGTCCCAGTGGAAAAGAGCATCAGTGAAAGTAAAGACATGGTAGAGCCTGTAGTATGCACCATGGGTGGTGTACAGAAAGTGAACACACTGCAGAGCATGTGATGTGCACCGTGCATGGAGTACAGACAGTAGACACACTGCAGAGCATGTGATGTACACCGTGCATGGGGTACAGACAGTAGACACACTGCAGAGCATGTGATGTACACCGTGCATGGGGTACAGACAGTAGACACACTGCAGAGAATGTGATGTGCACCGTGAATCAGCTACAGAAAGTAGACACACTGCAGAGCATGTGATGTGCACCATGCATTGTGTACACACATGATCACGATGCACTACTACTCCATGCCAAAGCACCATCTCCACCAATAACAAGATGAAGAAAGCACCATGAGGAAGGGATGAGAAGATGGAGTTCTCAGAGAGATGCACCTTTGAGGGAAGATTCAGAAGGGTGGCGGGTGAGCTGGAGTTTGCCTCACAGCAAAGACACTTTTTATATTTGGGAAGAAGGACAGGTTGTATTGCTGGCTGCTCCTCATCACCATGGTTTTTGAGCTCCAGTGCTCCTCCTCCTTTCCTCGGGATCCTTGAGAGCAGTTTGTGAACAGCAGGTTCTTCCTAGAGTCTATTGTGCCAAATGAACTGCAGACTTAGAGGATGGAATAAACTCCACTTAGCCACACCTCAGACTCCTTACTAAGAAGTCAAGAAGCTCCTCTGGGGGAGGGGCTTCACAGAATGCCCCACCTCTTCTTAGGCATGTCTGCAACTTGGACAGTCTATAACCATGGGTGCTTAACTTCAGTCAGGGTATGAAACTTTATTTTTGTCATGCTAGAAACATGAGCCCTGACTCACATCAGGGCTCTGTACCATTTTTAAATGTTACTGTTAGCTGAAGTTATAGGAAGAGTCTGTGGAGGGCATTAAGGCATTATCCATTCAAATCTTATAAACATACCTCTGCTGCAGGCTGGACCCTGCAGTGTTGCTGACACAATACTAGACATACACACAGGTGTTTGAAGACTGAAGTATCTCCAGCTTTCTTTGCAATATTTGAACCTAAGTGTGGCAGGGAGTGGTGCCTGGTGGGAGAGGCTTGGAGGAGGCATCTGGGTACCATCAGAGATACTGCCGTTACCTGTTGGTTCTAGACATGTTTTGAACAGATGGGTCCTCTTGTGTATGAGGAGGAGGGCCCTGTTTGTATGAGCAGGAGGACTAACTGCCCAGGCCTGCTGGTAGGTGTACTTTGTATATACATATTATTGTATAAAGAGAAATTTCTGAGAGAAAACAGGAACCACTAGCTTTGGAAGGTAGTTGGGAGGATGTATCATGGGAAAGACCCTCATTTTTCATTTACAAAATATCTAAGTCATTAGAGACATTTCTACCTGAGAAGGATTTTTCTTCCTTCTTTTTTTGTGTATGCGTGTGCATGGTGCATTAATATGTAAATTAACATGAAGGGTGTGCATGCCTGTGAGCACATGGGAGCCAGAGGACATTGGGTGTCCTCCTCTCTCACTCTCCATCTTGTTACTTTGAGGAAGGATCTCTCCCTGGACCTGGAGCTCAGGTGGGGGTAGGGGTTGGTTAGGCAACCAATAGGACCCAGTGATTTCCTCAGTGCCACGGTTAGCACAGACACAGGAGCAGGCCTCGCTTGCTATATGGATGTTGTGATCTGAAGTCAGGTCTGCAGTCATGTCCACACAGCAAGTGCTCTTATCCACTGAGTCATTGCTCTAGCCCAGGAGTTTCCTCAATAACTAAAAATACTTCAAAGCGTTCCAGCTCTGTATCACAAATGCTTAAGCTAAAATTACTTCTTTGGCCTGCTTATTATTTGAGGTGGTTTTATATAGACCCAGGTGTGTGTGTGCATGTGAACATACTTGTATGCAAGAGGCATCACGGAGCATCAGCTGGGGAACCCCCGAGACTCCTCCCCAGCTAGCAGGCATTGATACTGTGCAATGTAGCCTGTGAGACGGGCTGCCATTGAGACCCACTGCTTTCTCGAGGAGCCCAAGACACACCCCAAAGCAGGTCTCTTTCAAGATATTCATCATCTTTCCATGCAAATTAAGCTAATAGAAATGAATGAGACTGGCTGAGTTTCCTGGGAGGTTTCCCATGTATTGGACAGGGACCTGCTATGAGGCCACTGTGACAAGCACCACCCTCTTTTCCCAAGATAGGCTGCTTGGAATTCCAAGCAGGAAATCTTGCAGTCTATAGATATCTATGTGTGTGCTTTTATGGGTTCATTTAAGATCAAAGTCTGCTTCTTACCATGAGTCCTGATTTAAAAACAATGCCCAAAAGCCATGGTCCTGGAAGGTAGACAGAGTTGAAGTGGTTTGTGCTTCTGAGATAGATTTGAAGCTTTACACATTTTTTTCCCCAGATCTCCATGTTTTGTTATTTTGACGGATGTTTTTGGTCTTGGTTTTCTCAACATCAATGCTGAGGAAGAAGGCAAAGCCTGCCCCCTTCAGCATCCACCACTGCTGCTGAAAGTGGACCCACCAAGTGAGGAGGGACTCACCTGCGGTGCGTGAGGAAGCTGCCACTGACGTGCCCTGACCCATCACACCCAGGAGTAGGGCACGACATGCCCTCAGTCTTGACTGACTTCCAGGAGAATTGGGAGCCGTTGAGGTACCCGTCTTTCTGCCTCTTGGCCGCTAAGGGGCACCCGGAGGCGCTGCGGTGGGATGCATACTTCCCAGTGATGTGACCCTGACCATCACAGCCAGGGACCGGGCACCTGGACAACAGACAGGAGGCAAACTTCATTGTCTTTATCATCATGGGCATGGTGGACTATGTAACACAGTCACTCCACGTGACGGTAACTAACTAACTTACTTACTAACTGACACACACCCATGCTCTACTGAACAAGAGAAAGGGAACAGGAAAAGCCAGATGTGGTGGCACATGCCTGTAATCTTAGGACTTGGGAAGCAGAGGCAGAAGGATCAGGACAAAGAGGATGACCTAGAAAGATACCACCTAGTGGGGACATGTGGTATTTCCCCTTTTTAGAAATGGACACCAGGGACAGACAAACAGCTCAAGGGACTATGTCCTGTGATTTGGGAGGTATGGTGACTCACACAAGGAGCACTGGTGAGATGCAGGTATCTGCAGACATTGCCACTTTTGGACAGAATTCTGGTGGTAAAATACAAAGCCAATGGGTCAGTGTGGGAGCTGAATTAACATAAGCTAATGCAATGGCAATTCCATCAACCTTCACTCTCAAGGCTTAGGACACGCTGTGTGTGTGCTTTATGCTCTTGGGGGACACAGAGCTATATGAGATATGGCATAGCTCAGGAGCCATCTGAGGCTCCCGAGTAGAAGGTGCAGGGAGCTGGAGGGCCCCACCTGGGATTGGACTGCTGATTGCTTGCCACATTATGGGAGGAACCCAGACTCAGCCAAGAAAGTGTCCCAGTGTGCCTCAGAGAAAGCCGAGGCTGACTTCACAACCTCTGCTGCTCAGGACCACGTGGCTGTGCATTTGCTTTTCATTTTCCATTTCTCCCCTTCCCTCCCTTCTTCCTTCCAGTTCCTCTCCCTCTCCTTCCTTTTCTCTCCCTCTCCCTTTCCTTTCTCTCCTTCCTCCCTCTCAACAAGATCTCACATAGTTCAGGCTGGCCTGATGCACTAGCTATGTAGCTGCGGATGACCTTGCAGGTTCTCCTGTCTTCATCTTATAGGTCTGTGCCACCCATGCTCACGTATGCAGTGCTGAGTTTTGAACCTCGTACATGCTAGGCAAGGGCTCTATCAACTAAGCTATATCTCTAACCCTATATTGCTTTTTGAATAGCAAAATTTACATACCACAGAATCTGTATTTTTGTTTATTTTGATACATTTTAGTTTATCTTAATAATCTATGTCTTCATCAATTTTTGTTTGAGTTAAAACTTATCTCTTATTTCAGTACTGATACTGAAATTTAATGCAGACCCACCAAGTTTATCTTGTGAGGTTTGGGGCCCTTGGAGGGAGGGAAAGCAGGGAGAAATAAAAAATAAAATACAAGCAGATCCAGCAGCCCTTCGGCCCACAGAGGAAGGTTCAGAGCCGCTGGCCTCCCCAGCCCACCCAGGAAAGGCTGGTGTTATCCCGTCAGCATGATGGAAGGACATTTGCTTTCAGTAGCATGTTAAGCCTTCACAGTCTTTCAGAAGCCTGCAGCCCCCAGTATATTCTGGGGAAGGGAGCATCTCTTGGTGACACAGACTGTGGCTGGACACCTGAAGCTTCGTTGACAGTTAGCAGTTGTACTTTGCCCTAGCTGCTTAGTGAAACCTCCACAGACGCCTCCTAGAACCCACTGGCCCCATCTCATGGTCCCCATACCTGATTGGCTCCTGGTCCTCCTTGTCCTCTTTGCTCTGTGCTATCCGAATGCCACTCTTCTTTGCTCGTGGGCACCCAGAGAGGCTGAAGGAGAGATAGGTTTCAGAAACATGAAATACTGAGACTTGGGAAGAAAACTTCCTCAATCAATGGTGACCTGATTCTCTCCATCCAGCCTGGGATTTGGGGAATGAATTAAAAATCTGGAGGCCGGAGGGAGTGCATTTTAGACATAACCCCTATGCCTTCTCGATGCCTTTATACTCTGTCAGTTCCCATTCAAGAAATTGAAGAGCCTTGAGTGGACTAGGTACTGCAGATATGGTGAATGGCCAGTTTGAGAAGTGGGGACAGCGAGAACTAATTAGATAAGAGACTGAAGAAGGTTCTGTGGATGGATATGGAAGGAGAAAGGGAGAGAGACAGGGAGGGAGGGAGGGATGGTGAGGTAACATGAAGAGCAGACAGACCCGTATTGATGAAGTGAAGAACCCTGCAGCCCAGATTTGTGGGAGGAGCTATTCCATCCCACCCAAGTGTACCTACAGAAGTGATGCTAACGTCTGAATGTGTTTGCTCACTTTCTAGGTTCTGGATATAGAGGCACTGGAGATTTTCTCAAGGAGTCTTCATGCCAGAGGCCTCCTCTGAGCATCTCTCCCTGTATATAGACATTTCTTGCTGGGACATGCTGGACATGGGCTTTGGTCTGTGCATAGCTTGTGAGGCTGTCCATTTCCTTGCTGTCCCAACGCATTCATCTGCCACCTCTAGCTCAGTGTCCCCTGATGGCTTTGGCCCCTGAACATTCACCTCGTGTAACCATGTCTGCCACTCTCCATGAGCTTGGCCTCCACATGGAGGTCATATCTACTAAAAAGCCCTTGCTCACCTCTCTCTCCTCCAAAGGGTCCTCTACGAGGCTGAGCCTAAGGATAGGTGAGCTACCTTGTATTCATCTGCACCTTTAACTCCTGCTCAAGGCCTTGCACAGAGCAAGAGATGCTTAGGGATTTGCTGTGTGCATCAGTCTGAACATGATGGGAAGGACGGGCTCAGGAAGCAGGCTTCTCTCCCGACACTGTGAAGTTCAGTTTCCCTTCCCATTATGGTCAGTACTTAGAAGCCCTGGGGTATGGGGTCTCATTCTCACAGGCAGCACTCCAGCACTGGGAAGTCTGGTACTCATGTTACTCTTCCTGACTAAGGAAGCACATGGATTTCTATCCTCAGCTGAGCCCCAGAGCCCCGAAGGCCACTGCCAAGGACTTTCAAAAGACACAGTACTCTACTCTTTTTGTATTGTTTGATATACACACAACACACACAATCAGGCTGGCCTCAATTCACTATATAGCCTTTGATGACCTCAAGTTTATGATTCTCTTCCCTCCACCTTGTCAGTACTATGATCCTGAGATTTCAGGTCGCATGCACCATGGTTTCATATGTTGCTGAGAACTTATCTATGTAAGCTAAACAAGCACGCTACCAACTGAGCTACAATCCCAGACTCAATACTCCATTTTTGCCATAAGCAAGGACATGAGATCCATCATTATTTTTTGACTCCAGAGATTTCCATGGTACTTTACTATAGACTAGTCTAGGAATGGCACCAGGCAGGCTTCTGAAGTGTCTGTCCTGTTACTAGTACTTGGCCATGTCTCTGATCATGTGACCAGGTTCTTCAAGATGCCCCATAAGGACAGGAGAATAGGAGGCCAGGGAAGGTATAGAGACCCCACAGTATTTGTAGTCTTTCCTTAAGACACAAACTGACATCTACAAGAAAACAGCTACCTTTTCTTTCTGGATGAATGACAGACAGAATTGCAGGTGTTTAACCTTTGTAAGAACTCTAAGGTTCTATGGACCACTCCTCATTTCTACCTTTCGACCCATCTTTTCCCTCGTAAGTACTGTTTTCTTTTTAATTTCCACTGACTACCTCAGACTTCTTCTGCCTGGTCAAAGAAGGTCTTCCTTCTTCTCACCTGCTTTTTTAGACCCTCAGAGATGATATGTTTAAACAGAACGAGCCCCCAACCTATCTGGCAGCTTTTCTTCCTCTACTTTTGGGTTTCCTCTGTACCAAATAAAGTGTGCATGCATGTTCAAAGGCTCCCGTTGGGGAGATGGCCAGTGCACCACTGCTCCTAGTTTCTCTCATCCTGAAAACCAGACCTCATATCCAAATCCCTGCCCTGCTGGACCTGCTCAAGGCTCCCCCAGGCCTTTGTTTTCTCTACTCCATAGATTAGTTGTACCTTGAGGGCAGAGCCTTCTTAGTTATCATTGTTGCTTGACCTCTAGAATGTAGTATGTACTCAGTAAATATCTGCGGGATCCTAGGTTTCTGTGAACCTTGGACTGAAATGTGAAATCATTCTATAAATTCTATGCAGAAACTTTGTTCCCCACAGTTCACTGCCAGTGACTCAGGGGCTCATTAGCTATTTTCATTTTTGCTTGGAACAGTAGGTATTTAAAAACATGTGACAATCACAGGAAGTTCTGGTGGTAGACCCTAACATGCCACACTAATGTTCCTATCTCTGAGCCAAACTTCAGCTGTTTGCCTGACTTTAAACCAGGGTTAGACAGATGACAGCCAATTTCTTATGCAGGGCAACTTTACCTGGCATAGCAACAATCTTCTCTGCCCAAATCTATCTCTAAAGAAAAAACCAGAAGCCTCTGGACTGAAGTTAGTGCAGTGGTTCGTCTACTGTTCTGTCTCCTGACTTACTAGGAAGGCAGTTTTGAGCTGCAGTTTCTGATTTCCTCTGCATACCAACAGCCTCTTTTGTTCTACTTATGACAGTAGTTCTGCTTTGTGGAGTGAGCACTGCATGGTCCTAGAACTGAAAACAGTCAAGTTTGCTCTTTTACTGAATTGTTGTAGACTTTTGTTGAGAACTCTAAACACTGTTGTAACACTTGACTTCTTAGGGTTAGACAGGCTGGGGTGGGTCTTAGCCAGCTCACATGAGAAGAGAGGTTTCCCCGTACCAAGTGAACAACTTCTCTCAGAAGTTCCACGATGCAGTTTCCATAGCTCCCTAGTGAAGGTTACAACCTTCGGATTCTATGACCCTCAAAGATGCCTTTCTCTTTGTGCTTCTGGATACCAACAAGCCTGCTCTTTATCCGGTTCTTTGGGATGCTTCTCCTAACTGCAGGTTAGGCCTCTGGATCACCATCTGGACTTCTCGGAGCACAATAGAACAAGGTAGACGGTGCCACCAATCTTTAGGCTGGAGCCTTGTGTCTTTCACCTCATAGCAGGACAACAGGAAAGGGCTTGGGAGAAAACCAAGTTGACAGCATGGCAAGTTTGCATTCCAGCCTCAAGTCCTCATTTCAGCTTTGATAAAAAAAAAATAATCTCACAGGAAATTGAGGCCATATTTGTAGGAAGCTCAGTGCAATACTTGATACATAAGAAGTGATCAGTAAACAATGTCCTGTGCTTTGGGAGGTTATTAGTTGTTCCTTTAGATGCTGGAGTACTTAAATGGGAGGCACAGAATGTAAGACACAGAGTAGGAGCCAAGGGGTCTTGGGAATGTCTTGGCTATTGTACGATCCTATTGAAAGGCAAATGGAAGGGTTCAATCAGAAAACAAAGGGAACCTCTGTGGGGTTGGAGCATTCAGAAGCCACTGCACCATTGTGTTAAAAAAAAAAACTGTAGATGAAGAAGGCTCCAATGAATATTCTAGCAGAAGAGCACACAGAAGATCTTTGAGAAGCCAAGGAAATAATAAAGAACTCTAAGACAAAGTCAGCTGATGACTGTAGACTATGAAAGCTTTCCAGGCCCATCAGAGGGCAGTGGGAGGAGGAAGTAATAGGTGAAAGTTTTAGGAAACATCACAGTCCATAGGTATTTGTTAAGATGAGTTTAGGGGGTTTCAGATATGTTATTGTGACTGGAAGCTGCAACATCATTCAAAGTTGAACCAAGAGAGTTCCAATTGCATCCTGTCTAGCATGTCTCTGGGTATACCATTTCCCTGTGGGCTGCACCTCCCCGTGGTCTTCCAGTACCATTCTGGGCTCCCAGGTCCATGGAGACGTGACACTTGAGCTAGACACCACAGCTTTAGTTCTAGCTCTAATTCATCTCTTAGAGCTTCAGTTTCCTCAGGCCAAAAAAGAATGGAATAGGTTCCCTGTTTCCAGTGTGTAGAGAATAGCAAGGGGAAGGCATGGAACACTGTGGTGATTTGAGTAAGAATGGTGGCCCCCATAAGCTCATAGGTTTGCATGCTTAGTCATCAGGGAGAGGCACTAATTTGGAGGGGTTAGGAAGTCTGGCCTTGTTGAAAGGAGTTTGTCACTGTGTGGTGAGCTTTGAGGTTTCAAGGGCTTAAGCCAGGCCCAGTGTTTTTCTTCCTGCTGCCTATGGATCTAGATGTAGAATTCTTAGCTACTTCTCCAGCACCATGTCTGCCTGTGTGCCACCGGGCTGCCTGGCATGATAAGCAAGCTCCAACCAAATGCTTTCTTCTGGAAGAGCTGCTGTCTCTTCACAGCAACAGGACAGTGACTAAGACAAGACTTCAGTTCATTTCTATTACAAAGATGGCTGTATATTCCTGCAGGGTTTTGAGTTATAGAACAGAGGCAATGTGTATACCAGGAAGGACAAACCCATGTGTACCAGAAACTATCGACAGTACTCTGACCATTGGCCTGCTTGGAATCCTTGCTCTGAGACCTCACATCCTACTGTGGCATGGAGGTGCTCTGTACTAACAACTGAGCTGAATGTCGCATCATTTCCTACTGAGGCATGGAGATGCTCGGTACTAACAACTGAGCTGAATGTCGCATCACTTCCTAGTGAGGCATGGAGATGCTCTGTACTAACAACTGAGCTGAAAGTCGCATCCCTTCCTACTGTGGCATGGAGGTGCTCAGTACTAACTGAACTGTCACATATCTGGGGCTGGACGGCAGTGCTTCCCTGTCTAGGTAAACTTTCCTTTAGGGTTTCTGTACTGCAAGTATCTTATGGCCTATGTTTCTGGGAAGGGATTCAGAAACATAAAAGAGAAGGAAGATTTCTAAGTATCCTGTGGCCAAGAACCAACGAGCCTGAAGAAAGCACACATCTAACTCCCGGCTTTGTCTTTGCTCAACTTACCCAGACCTTTGCTTATTTAGCTGTGACATCAGTCTTTCCCTAGTGAAAAATTTACATAAGAACTGTGAATCAAATGTAATATTCTGGCTTAATATTCTTGACTCTATTTCAACCTCTGTGTAAAGGAGCTTACTATATGACACTCCAGTACACTCCACTCTCTGTTCGCTAAAAATGCCACAAAGTAGTAATTGCCCAAAGTTGTCTCCTCAAAATCAAATTTGCTTTGCAACTCTGTTGATAAAGCAGAGTTTACTTCAGCACAGATCATATCTTAAATATAAGCCTGATATACAAATACATACACACATACAACACACACAGTCATGCACACCCAGAAACATGGACACTGCCATATATAAATACAAAGACACAAAACATACATACATGACCTGAACACATACACATACATACATGTCATATACCCATATACAAACACAAGTGTACACACAAACCATACATGTACACAAAAATACACAATATACATACATATGCACGCAAATACATATACACAATAGACATATACATATACCACAGACATATATATATATTATAATACATACATGGTCATACACTACTCCCACATTATTTTGAGACAAAATCTGTGCAGTCTAGCCTGGCCTTGAACTTTTGGTGATCCTCCTGCCTCAGCTTTCAAGTGCTGGGATTACAGATGTGAACCATCATGCCTTTTTCTAAATTATATCTTAATGACACATTTGTAACTTACTAATATCTAAAATTCTAAATCAAATGCCAAATGAGTAAACATATTTATACTGCATTATGTTTGAAGGGAGGTAAACAATGGCAACTTTTTTTAAAGCAGAAAATAAAATACTGGATGTGGGGTAACCAGGAACCTTCCATTTTCAGTTGCACAGATTTACAAAATGACGAATGTTCTAGAGGCATTTATTTTCTAAGATAAATTACTATAAAGACTAGAAAAGAATATACCTGACTATATAGTTAATGAGTGTTTTTGAATTCTCTTTACTATAAACCAACCATCTACTCTGGAGACCCTTTCAGAAGTACCTTACTCTGTCTTACACATCTTGTGATGTCAGTCACATCTTGTGATGTCAGGGGAACAGATCTCTGTTGCCTTGGTAGGCCTAAGTCCGGAGACATCATGATTGGCACCTGAGGATGGAGGCCATGGCACCATTCTGCATCGGTCTGAGGGAAACCCCATAGCACCGGACTATCGACCCACAAATGCCAGCATTGTTGCAGTTGAAAAGTCTGGTGGAAGTGCTTCTCTGCACTTTGGCAGTATGTGCATGTTCTGTTTCCAGAGATAGATAGGGATGTCACCACGGGACTCCTGTGTTTTCGGAAGCTGACCAAGGTCAGCCTCTGTGACCAAAGTCTGAGAATCTAAACCTCGGATCCCCACTCTGTCCTTGCAGAGGAAAGCGTGAACAAGAAGCCTGCTGAGATAGCTTAGTAAAAATCCCAAGCCCTCGGTGCCTGCTCCCTGGTCATCTTATCCTCTGGCTGCTCTCAGCAGTGATGCTCTGGGGTCAGCCAGGATGCTTAGTTCGGAGGATGGTGTGCAATCTACTGATAGCCTGCCCCCGAGCTGTCGATCCCCATTTTTCCTTACAGGTGCTAGGCTTTGAGGCTCTGATGCAGGATTCCCGAACCTGTCACGAGGCCCCTTGAGGAAAGTCAGCCTCACCACCTTTATCAAGTATTCCACTTACTTTTATTCTATGATGGCATATGCCAAGATTTTCCTTTAACTCTCTTCCCTCAGAGGATCTGTCATAGAGTGTACAGTCACTATGCTGATGGGATGACGAATATGGACGCCTTTTGTCAGCTCACACGCTGGAGGTTTCGTGTCATACTGTAGCTTCTCTGTTCTCATTGCGGGGAATGGAAACTTAAACCTCTCTGTGGCTATCAACCCTGCTTACAGCAACTGTTCAGCTTTATGCTTCAAATCCTAACGTTAAAGGGACCAACAGGGTTTGTGTATCTGAGAATATTTGCCTACATATAACAATCTTATAACATATTTGGAGATGAGTTTTTTTCCTTTGTTGAGAATGGCGGACTGGAAATGTTTTAGTGGCCTCTAGGGTGATATACAGACCCAGGAAGAATGAGCATCCTAGCAGCCCCCAAGATGATAGTCCTATGACTCCAAGTCTAGATTTCCTTTGCTGAGTAGTACCATATCCAGCCTGCACCTCAGCCAGGAGTGCAACATCCCTGTCACGATGGAGCTGCTGCTCTGGGGAGGAGGGTAGTTCTGATGAGTCTACATACCTTCGATGAGAAGCATAATTGCCAGTGATGTGTCCAGAACCGTCACAGCCAGGGGTGGGGCACCTACAAGTACAAATGCAAATGGGGTAATTTACTTGAAGGAAATCAACCCCCTGGGTAGTTGACTTTATTTATCCAAAAGACAAACTCTGTACTGTGCACCCTTGCTACTAAGAGAGACTAAGCTGACGTGGGAGCACCCTTGCTCGTTCATGGCCATTACCACCTACAGATTCACCTCTGCCTCCTTGTTTCCCAGCACACGGACATGTGCAAAGGACAGCTCTTTTTTTGTGACCACTTAGGAATCCTCAGTCTCTGAAGAACCTAGCATCCTCTGTCACTAGGCTTGCGACCCTCCAGACGGCCTTTCTCTCTCCTTAATGTTTCTTTGAACTTAGCCATAGCTAGTTACTGCAGGGCTTGCTGTAACAACAATCTACACAGGACAAGATACAAACATGGAAAGATACGTGCCATGACTAAGAGCATGTCCTATTCTGAGCCAACCTTGAACAGGGATCCCAGCCATTTCCTCACAATTCTGCCCCAACTGGGGGATCCTAGAGCCCAGGAAAGGTGACAGCTGGTACCTGTGCTGGTTGGGGGAGGGACAGACCCACAGTTCTTTAGTCATGGCACCTTCCGGAGGTCTTCTCTACTTTAGACCTATTGCTTTTCCATTTTGGGGTACAAAGTAGGAGGCACATCTGCATGCCCTGGCAGGGATCTCATATTAGCCATACGTTCCTCTGCCAAGTCTGTTTAAATGACAGAAACTAATTCATTTGGCACCTTAAGGCCAGTTTGCATTATTAGGGGGTTTTATAATTGTTGTTTCTCTCCAAGTAACTTGTGTGTGTGTGTGTGTGTGTGTACCTGTGTGTGCATAGATTGGGGTATGCAGATGTGGAGGCAGCGGACATCATCAGACACATTCCTCAGGCACTGCTTATCTATCTATCTATCTATCTATCTATCTATCTATCTATCTATCTATCTATCATCTACCTACCTATCTGCCAATCATCTATTTAGAGACAAAGTCTCTGACTGTCTCTGAACATACCGAGTAGACTAGGCTGGATAAAAGCCCTAGGGGTACAACAGCCTCTACCTCCCAGTGATGGGAATATAAGCATGCGTCATCTGTCTAGCTTTAATTTTTTATTTTATTTAGAGTGGGTTCTAGGGATAGGGCTAAGATCTTAATGCCTGCAAAGCAAGCACTTTTAACATGGAGCTACCTCTCAGTCTTTCATATAACTTCTTAAATACACATGCTAAGAACAAGCAGATAGTAATGCAAAACCACGCTTCTCAGAGCAATGCCATTGCCTTTCTACCACCATGAAGGTAAAATTAAGGGGCAGAAGTTAAGAAAAGATACCCTTTCCATTAAATCATAGATTCTGTGATCCAGTGAACAAATTACCCTCTGTTAATGAAAAGCAGACCATGCTCTGTGTGTTCTCTCCCAGTGAGAGCCTGAAGCTAGGTCAAGAACAAAGGCCCACATGTGCAGAGTCAGCAGATGTGTTCTGTGGTTTCCCTCTGCTTAGCAGTGCTGAGTGGGGGCCAGCACGTTAGCCAAGTATGGAAGTGAGACCAGCAGGCTACCTGTGCACAGAATGAGGCTAGTCCACAAGCCTGGTACAGTGAGGCTGGCACACTAGTCACCCACAGATGTGTCTTCTCTAGACTGGATGGCAGTGCCAAGGAGCAGGTGGGCACATAGGAACTGGACAAGTTTCAAATGTGTGAATGGCAGATTGCCACACTTGGATGCATAAACAATTTTCAGGGTTTAGAAATTTTCTAATGTCCCCTGGTGCTATGAAAGGGAATGTGTATGTAGTTCTCAGAGTAGAGAAGTCAGGATCTTCCATACCACATGTAAGGACAGAATTTAATTTATGGCCCGTATTAAGGGAGGAACAGAGCCAACCGAGTGGCAGGGCAGGGAAAGTGTCTGTAGAGTGCTCGGGTCCACACAGGAAATGGGGCTCTGAGATAGGCACTGGCTACAGAATGGGACTGAGCTTGTTTTACTGAGTCCTGCTTGTCAATAGCAGTGCCAGCACTGATTGGAGACTAGGGTTTGAACAGAGTGACTGTGTTGGTCTCCACTGCCTGTGTGATCATAAGACCTGCCACTTCATGGCTAAGAAGGTATTTCCTAAGTAGTGGCTCAGTGGCCTTGTTAAGTGGCTGGTTTTTCCAGTGTAAGGAACTCACCCGAGAGACCATCTTAGAAGCAGTGAAAACATCCTGAGAGATAGTAAACATTGTAACAGTTCTGTCTGGAGGTGTGTGAAGAGACTTTGTGTTTCCTACCCACCAGTATTTTCTACTGTAGGGAGATTTTCAAGCTCTTCCCAATTTAAAACCTAGGGGAAGTTTGTAGTAACATTTCATTTGTATTTTAATAACTAAAGCCCACATGAAGTTCAGAGAGTAAAACAGCCCCACTGGCCAGCCTTACAGACCAGGCAGTGGTGACACACATCTTTAATCCCAGTAGCCACACTAGGTTGTCATAGAAACTGGGTGATAGTGCATGCCTTTAATCCCAGCCCTAGAGAGGAACATAAAATGGGAGGAGACAGCTCTGAGTCAGTCTCATTCTGAGATTCTAGGAGGCAGGATAGCCATCTCAGACTGAAGTAGATTTAAGAGCCAGTGGCTGGCTGTTTTGCTTTTCTGACCTTCAGGATGAACCCCAATTTCTGTCTCTGGGTTATTATTAATCGTGCTACAGAAGTCAATTTAGAGTTTACTTATTTAGTATGAGTACATTCTTTACCTGTCTTTTTGTGGGAGGAGATGTTGCCTTATTCTACTCAAAATGAAAGTGAGCTGTTACAACCATGGAAAAGCAATGATCATCAGATCTTACCGCCTCCACCCACAGAAACCTTTGAATCAACTTCTGTGGCTTAGGCTGTCCTTTATAAAGGTCTAATTTATCACGTGGTTAAGAAAAAGGTTCAAAATGCACTCTTACTACTCCTCCAAAACAAAACAAACCCCAAAACAACAACAAAAAACGTTCTCACTTTCAGGGCTTTCATTGTTTTGCCGAGAAAACACCATGAGAACCGGAAGGTTGTTTCTGTTTTTGTTTTTTTCTGGAACCCAGCCAAGTGAGGCCAGCTGTTAGCCAAGAGGCTGTGGGGCTGCTGTGGCACCCTTCTGTAGATAAGATATTCTTATCTCCAGGGTAGGTGTGGGGCTAGAAGGAAGGTCCCTCTCTGTGAAGAGCAGAGAACTAGGGCAGGGCTCTGCTCTTGTCCCTGCCCTGTTTGAGCTCAGAATTGATGAAGTGCCATTCTCTACCTGTAGGTGGCACCATTGCACAAAGGCAATTTAAGTGGCTTCACCTGCTCTCCCCTGAAGTGGCTCTAGGCGTTCATTCCTATCTGACTGTTCAAGACTTTAAGGCTTTCTTAAACTCACAGATTTACATACAAATTTTCCAGCCCTAAGAAATCTCAATATTCCAAACCACAGTTTTCTGCAGCCTTGCGTGAGGGAATGATGATCCCTCTAAAAAAAAGAACCTGCTCGCGTGCCTGTCTGCTTGGGGCCTTGGTGGTAGGAGGTGTGTGGAATCCACTTCTCCCTGCAATGCTGGCAGCAGTCCCTCTAGGAGCACATCTTCCCAGGAAGGGAGCCCACGTGGGACAATCAGAAGCAGCCTGTGCGCACAGCTTGGGTTTTGAAATCACAGAAGAGATGGGCTGGGTTTCCATGGAAACGGCCCTCAGTTCCCTTGGGGGAGGCAATGGCTTGGCTGTCAGCACTGAAGTGCTTCTAGCAGGCCAAAGGAGGTTTTAAAAGGACACTGCTCGATGACCCTTCTTCCTTTCCTAATAGCTGCTGTGGATAGTAGCTCTCGGGATATTTAAGGCTTTTATGGTTAAGGATGTGAAGTTTGTTAAACGAAATGCTTGGCTTTATCAGTATATTTTTCCTTTTCTATTACCATGAGACTATGGGTAAAAACACTCAGAGAAAGGAAGTGATGAATAAGTAATCCCATTCTCAGACTGCGAGGCAGAGACATCCTGATCACCTTGCTATAACTTGGTTTTGTGTTTGCAATAGTAAGAGAAAATAAGTTTTGGTGGTGCATATTGCTCTCTAGCTTAGAAGCTAGTCTTATTAGACACTGATGAACGCTGACACAAAAATAATTTTAAAAAAGTCTTAAATAGTGCTTAATTGGAGAGGCATGCAGATTCAGACAAAATACTGAAAATATGAATCCAAAGGTTCTCCTAGACTGTCCATTCTGACCCCAGGGGTTGGTTCTTTTCTGTAAGGGAAATTGTCTGCTGCTTACTGGAGTCCGAACCCCTGGTTCTTCTGCCTCCTGCTTTTCCATTTCTTTATCACCAAGTAAACACAGAACCTCTTTAAGAATAGCCACTGGCCACAGCTACCAGCTACCCAGAGAACATCAGACATATCCTCTAACATAGGGGAACTGGATATCAGTGTACTCAAGTAGATAATCTTAAGGTCAGAGAACTCGGCATTGGCACTTGCCAAAAAGGCAGACAATAACTACGTCTTAATTCTGACTTGAATTTGTCCTCAAGGACTCAACCCCCCTTACACAGCCCCCCTGTGATGCCCTGGAGAAAGAAAGAGTGGGGACAGTTACATCCACCCATCACAGCTGTCCTCCTGGCTAATTACTCCCAGCGTCTTGAAGGTGTTCCTCTGTGTTGTCCCCACGCTCTTTTAAAAAGACATATTGTGAGTGTTAAGTCAATACTTAGAATTATGTTAAGGAATTTACAGTATGATGTAAAGTAAGTATGCCTTCTGGTAAAGGGAGCTTGACACTGTGACAGGCGTGTCCTCTGGTCAAGTGAATATGTGGTGTCATGATAGGTGCGCCCTGTTTAAATGAGGATGTGACATCATGGTAGGTACACCCTCTGTTTAGGTGAGTATGACATCAATGATAAGCATGCCTTCTGGTTAATGGAGTATGTGGCATTATGATGGATATATCCTCTGGTTAAGTGAGTATACAGAGTGTAACATAT